TGTCTCTCCCCGTGTCTCCGTGTCCCCGTGTCTCTCCCCGTGTCCCCGTGTCTCTCCCCGTGTCTCCGTGTCTCTCCCCGTGTCTCTCCCCGTGTCCCCGTGTCTCTCCCCGTGTCTCTCCCCGTGTCCCCGTGTCTCTCCCCGTGTCCCCGTGTCTCTCCCCGTGTCCCCGTGTCTCTCCCCGTGTCCCCGTGTCTCTCCCCGTGTCTCTCCCCGTGTCCCCGTGTCTCTCCCCGTGTCTCTCCCCGTGTCCCCGTGTCTCTCCCCGTGTCCCCGCAGTCAGCCGAAGGTGCTCTCGCCGCTGTAGGCCACGTACAGGAACCCGTCCTCGTCCTTGTGATCCTCGTACAGCTGGCCCATGCTCAGACTGCGGACACACGGAGGGGAGACAAAGACGGCCGGGGAGGAAGGGGGGGGGGGGGCATGGGAGTGACAGAGACCCACAGACTCACACAGAGACCCATAGACTCACAAAGAGACCCATAGACTCATCACACAGAGACCCATAGACTCACCACACAGAGACCCACAGACTCACCACACAGAGACCCATAGACTCACCACACAGGGACCCATAGACTCACCACACAGAGACCCATAGACTCACCACACAGGGACCCATAGACTCACCACACAGAGACCCATAGACTCACCACACAGACACCCACAGACTCACCACATAGAGACCCATAGACTCACCACACAGACACCCACAGACTCACCACACAGACACCCACAGACTCACCACACAGACACCCACAGACTCACCACACAGAGACCCACAGACTCACCACACAGAGACCCATAGACTCACCACACAGAGACCCACAGACTCACCACACAGAGACCCACAGACTCACCACACAGACACCCACAGACTCACCACACAGAGACCCACAGACTCACCACACAGAGACCCACAGACTCACCACACAGACACCCACAGACTCACCACACAGATACCCACAGGCTCACCACACAGACATCCACAGACTCACCACACAGACACCCACAGACTCACCACAGAGACCCACAGACTCACCACACAGAGACCCATAGACTCACCACACAGACACCCACAGACTCACCACACAGATACCCATAGACTCACCACAGAGACCCACAGACTCACCACACAGAGACCCACAGACTCACCACACAGAGACCCACAGACTCACCACAGACACCCATAGGCTCACCACACAGACACCCACAGACTCACCACACAGACACCCACAGACTCACCACACAGAGACCCACAGACTCACCACACAGAGACCCACAGACTCACCACAGACACCCACAGACTCACCACACAGACACCCACAGACTCACCACACAGACACCCACAGACTCACCACACAGAGACCCATAGACTCACCACACAGAGACCCACAGACTCACCACACCGAGACCCACAGACTCACCCAGCACGGTATGCATACCAGGCTACGTGTACCAGGCACGCGCACACACACACACACCAGCGTGTGTGTACCTCGACTGCGGCACCGTCTTGTCTATGAAGAGGAAGATTGCTCTCTCCGCTGCTAGCTGGATCCTCTTGCGCACGATCCACATGAACTGTGCGACGGTGATGTCGGCCGGCACCAAGTACTTCCGCTTGTCGATGTCCCCGATGTGCGAGCCAGCGACCTTCTCAACGATCACCTTCAAGCGGTGCCGGGGACGGTGGGGGGAGGGAGAAGTATGGCCGGCGATCTCGGTAGAGAGAGCCGTGGACTCATCACACAGCAGAGAGCCGTAGACTCATCACACAGCAGAGAGCCATAGACTCATCACACAGCAGAGACCCATAGACTTATCACACAGCAGAGAGCCATAGACTCATCACACAGCAGAGACCCATAGACTCATCACACAGCAGAGACCCATAGACTCATCACACAGCAGAGAGCCATAGACTCATCACACAGCAGAGACCCATAGACTCATCACACAGCAGAGAGCCATAGACTCATCACACAGCAGAAACCCATAGACTCATCACACAGCAGAGACCCATAGACTTATCACACAGCAGAGACCCATAGACTCATCACACAGCAGAGACCCATAGACTCATCATAGAGACCCATAGACTCATCACACAGCAGAGACCCATAGACTCATCACACAGCAGAGACCCATAGACTCATCACACAGCAGAGAGCCGTAGACTCATCACACAGCAGAGAGCTGTAGACTCATCACACAGCAGAGACCCATAGACTCATCACACAGCAGAGACCCATAGACTCATCACACAGCAGAGACCCATAGACTCATCACACAGCAGAGACCCATAGACTCATCACACAGCAGAGAGCCATAGACTCATCACACAGCAGAGAGCCATAGACTCATCACACAGCAGAGACCCATAGACTCATCACACAGGGACCCATAGACTCATCATAGAGACCCATAAACTCACCACACAGCGGAGACCCACAGACTCATCACACAGCAGAGACCCATAGACTCATCACACAGCAGAGAGCCATAGACTCATCATAGAGACCCATAGACTCATCACACAGCAGAGAGCCATAGACTCATCACACAGCAGAGAGCCATAGACTCATCACACAGCAGAGACCCATAGACTCATCACACAGCAGAGAGCCATAGACTCATCACACAGCAGAGAGCCATAGACTCATCACACAGCAGAGACCCATAGACTCATCACACAGCAGAGAGCCATAGACTCATCACACAGCAGAGACCCGTAGACTCATCACACAGCAGAGACCCATAGACTCATCACACAGCAGAGAGCCATAGACTCATCACACAGCAGAGACCCATAGACTCATCACACAGCAGAGAGCCGTAGACTCATCACACAGCAGAGAGCCATAGCCTATCAACTGCAGTGCAAAACGCGGAGAAGTATGACCGGAGCCGCCGTGGCAAGGAGGCGTTGTCTATGGGGTTGGAGGGATACATAAGGATGGGGACGCCGCTTTGCTGGTGACTGTTTTTGCTTTTCGTGAATAAACTCTCCTAAGAACAGACGAACTCACTACATGAGGTCGTGGGTTCGATTCCGTGATCCTGACGATGTCTGCTGCTGCTGTACATTTGGAGTCTGCGTCTCTCTCATCATCATCATCACGGTGGCTAGGAGATGTTGACTACCTCGCCTGGTCTACAGGAGGTCTATGTGGAGTCTGTGTCTCCGTCTCATCACGGTGGCTATGAGATGTTGACTACCCCGCCTGGTCTACGGGAGGTCTGTGTGGAGTCTGTGTCTCTCTCTCATCATCATCACGGTGGCTAGGAGATGTTGACTACCTCGCCTGGTGCGCAGGAGGTCGTGGGTTTGATCACGTGATTCTGACAATGCCGGTGTGTCTCTGTGTCTCTCTCACCGTGGTAGTCTGGTGGCTGTGGTGCCGGTGTGGTGAGGCTGTGGTGAGGTCATGGTGCTGGTATGATGAGGCTGTGGTGCCGGTGTGGTGAAGCTGTGGTGAGGCTGTGGTGAGGCTGTGGTGAGGCTGTAGTGATGCTATGGTGAGGCTGTGGTGATGCTGTGGTGAGGCTGTGGTGATGCTATGGTGAGGCTGTGGTGATGCTGTGGTGAGTATGTAGCATGTGGTGATGCTATGGTGAGGCTATGATGCCCAGTGTGGTGAGTTACCGGTACACGGTCCGGGTATTTGGCACGGATCTTGGTGGCCTCCACGCTCCGGTGATCTGCAAACAAAAAAACAAAAATATCATCATCATCAGTGTCTAGAGTAGAGACCGGGTCTCAGGGTCTAGAGTAGAGACCGGGTCTCAGGGTCTAGAGTAGAGACCGGGTCTCAGTGTCTAGAGTAGAGACCGGGTCTCAGTGTCTAGAGTAGAGACTGGGTCTCAGGGTCTCAGTGTCTAGAGTTGTAGTGTATAGTAGTGTAGTGTTTCGTAGTGTATAGTAGTGTATAGTGTAGTGTATAGTAGTGTATAGTGTAGTGTATAGTAGTGTATAGTGTAGTGTATAGTAATGTATATATAGTGTACTATACATTACTATACACTACACTACACACTACTATACACTACACTACACACTACACTACACACTACACTACACACTACACTAAACTACTATACACTACACTATACACTACACTATACACTACACTATACACTACACTATACACCACTACATTACTATACACTACACTATAAACTACACTACTATACACTACACTATACACTACATTATATACGACACTATACACTACTATACACGACACTACTATACACTACACTACTATACACTACACTATACACTACACTACTATACACTACACTACTATACACTACACTATACACGACACAACTATACACTACACTACCATACACTACACTATACACTACTATACACTACACTATACACTACACTACTATACACTATACACTACACTATACACTACACTATACACTACACTATACACTACACTACTATACACTACACTACTATACACTACACACTACGCTATACACTACTATACACTACACTACTATACACTACACAACTATACACTACACACTACACTATACACTACACTATACACTACACTATACACTACACTATACACTACACTATACACTAAGTGACGATTTCGCCACCTTCTGTTTAAGCGACACTAAACGTGACCGATCGGCTGTGTGGTCGATCTAACACAACAACAACATCATCATCAACCACATCAACAACAACATCAACAACAACATCAACAATAACAACAACAAAATCGAAATGGTCCCCTCCCCCATTATGATTCCTGACGATGATGTCCACACGAAAGCCTCACTACGTGAACTCACCCAGCGAGTGGTCTTCCTTGAACATCCACTTCATTCTGACTCAACAACAACAAACAACAAAATGTAGAATTATTATTTAACTCTTTAAACTCTCAAAACAGCTGACCGAGGCCTGCGATTCGCGCTGTCGGCGTCACCAACATAACACGGATCAGCTGTCTCTACGCATTACGTCATTCCACGGACTCAACCATTACCCCACTGTCGACAGGGGGTGTGTGCGGTGGGGATAGTTGGTCTCTTCCAAACCAATACGTTTATTTTCCCACCAATTGTTTAAAAGATAATTCACGCTAATGTATATTCTTATAAAGTCACACCTAAGCGTCTATAAATACAATCATTGCTTTTGTAGGTGACAGGGGGAAAGTTTACGGCAATTTCATACCTCACCCACAACCCCCCCTGCGCGCGTGGGTAAGATGGTACGGTCCGGGGCTATTGGCTCACACAGATGGTAAACAAGTCCCTTTAAATAGGGCGAGGAAGGGGGGCTACTAACGACAGAGAGTGACGCTGCTAACACTTACCCGAGCCCAATAAGTTTGTTGTTGTTATTGGTGTGGTTAGAAGTCGACTGCAATTAAAGAGTTCCAACCAGTTGGTGCCATTCGTTAACGTTGGAAGGGGTCTACTAACGCAGTGTGTGTACCACTTGCCCGAGCCCCACTGCTATAGGATAACATTGGTGGTGGTCTACTACTCTCAAACACTCTACCACTTGCCCGAGCCCCACTGCTATAGAATAACATTGGTGGTGGTCTACTGCTCTCAAACACTCTACCACTTACCCGAGACGGTAGAGCCCCATTCGCTAACATTAGAAAGGGGTCTACTACTCTCAAACACTCTACCACTTGCCCGAGCCCGCTGCTATAGAATAACATTGGTGGTGGTCTACAGCTCTCAAACACTCTACCACTTGCCCGAGCCCGCTGCTATAGGATAACATTGGTGGTGGTCTACTGCTCTCAAACACTCTACCACTTGCCCGAGACTGTAGAGCCCCATTCTCTAACATTAGAAAGGGGTCTACTACTCTCAAACACTCTACCACTTACCCGAGCCCGCTGCTATATAATTACATTGGTGGTGGTCTACTACTCTCAAACACTCTACCACTTACCCGAGCCCCGCTGCTATAGGATAACATTGGTGGTGGTCTACTGCTCTCTCACTGTCTACCACTTGCCCGAGCCCCACTGCTATAGGATAACATTGGTGGTGGTCTACTACTCTCAAACACTTCCACTTGCCCGAGCCCGCTGCTATAGAATAACATTGGTGGTGGTCTACTACTCTCAAACACTCTACCACTTACCCGAGACTGTAGAGCCCCATTCGCTAACATTAGAAAGGGTCTACTACTCTCAAACACTCTACCACTTACCCGAGACTGCAGAGAGCCATTCGCTAACATTAGAAAGGGTCTACTACTCTCAAACACTCTACCACTTACCCGAGACTGCAGAGAGCCATTCGCTAACATTATAAAGAGGTCTACTGCTCTCAAACACTCTACCACTTACCCGAGCCCGCTGCTATAGAATAACATTGGTGGTGGTCTACTGCTCTCTCACTCTCTACCACTTGCCCGAGCCCCACTGCTATAGGATAACATTGGTGGTGGTCTACTGCTCTCAAACACTCTACCACTTACCCGAGCCCCACTGCTATAGGATAACATTGGTGGTGGTCTACTACTCTCACACTCTCTACCACTTACCCGAGCCCCACTGCTATAGGATAACATTGGTGGTGGTCTACTGCTCTCAAACACTCTACCACTTACCCGAGACTGTAGAGCCCCATTCGCTAACATTAGAGAGGGGTCTACTACTCTCAAACACTCTACCACTTACCCGAGCCCCGCTGCTATAGGATAACATTGGTGGTGGTCTACTACTCTCAAACACTCTACCACTTGCCCGAGCCCCACTGCTATAGAATAACATTGGTGGTGGTCTACTGCTCTCAAACACTCTACCACTTACCCGAGCCCCACTGCTATAGGATAGCATTGGTGGTGGTCTACTGCTCTCTCACTCTCTACCACTTGCCCGAGCCCCACTGCTATAGGATAACATTGGTGGTGGTCTACTGCTCTCAAACACTCTACCACTTACCCGAGACTGTAGAGCCCCATTCGCTAACATTAGAAAGGGGTCTACAACTCTCAAACACTCTACCACTTGCCCGAGCCCCGCTGCTATAGGACAACATTGATGGTGGTCTACTACTCTCAAACACTCTACCACTTACCCGAGCCCGCTGCTATATAATAACATTGGTGGTGGTCTACTACTCTCAAACACTCTACCACTTGCCCGAGCCCCCTGCTATAGGATAACATTGGTGGTGGTCTACTACTCTCAAACACTCTACCACTTACCCGAGCCCGCTGCTATAGAATAACATTGGTGGTGGTCTACTACTCTCAAACACTCTACCACTTGCCCGAGACTGTAGAGCCCCATTCGCTAACATTAGAAAGGGGTCTACTACTCTCAAACACTCTACCACTTGCCCGAGACGGTAGAGCCCCATTCGCTAACATTAGAAAGGGGTCTACTACTATATTCTTAGTTCTTTCGGTAAAGTCACGTTGAAGGGAAACAATAAAATAATAAAAAATATATAAAACAATAAAAATTCTCACGACGTTTCGACCATAACACAAACGGTCGTCTTCAGGTGTGTCGGTTTGCATAAATTTATTTATTTTTAAACGGTGTATTTATTTATTTTAAAACAAAACGTTAGCGCCACGCGCAGCGATTTGTCAATTTATTTAGACGGACTAGTCCATCTATGTTCTGAAAAGAGGAGGGGGGAGACGAAATGTTTTTTATGTATGCTGTCAGAAAGCCACTGTAAGCGTGAACAATCAATTAAGACCTGAAATAGTTTATCAAATCTTTCCAATGATTGCTAAGCCAGAATCCATCTTCTCGGTTGAAATTGTCTCTGTGCTTGTATATGTGGATAGCCTCATGAACGAACTCTCATGGTAGCCAGATGGCTTACAAAGAACCTCTGTCTTGGAAAAGTCAATGTCATGTGAGCCTACTGAATTATAACAATGATCTGCCACGGCCGAGGTGTTGGTCCTACCGTGTTTAAGGTCTGCTTTGTGTTCACGAATGCGGTCCGAGACATGGCGTTTGGTTTCTCCAATGTAACTACTACCACAGAGGCAACTTAGTTTGTAGACACCAGGGTATTGTATGTCCGGAATCACATTTTTTACAGACGGAACCAGATCACGGATTTTATGTAATGTGTTGAAACGGACCTGGATCTTGTGTTTATTCAAGATTTTGGAGATCTTTTTTGTGATCCCCGCAATGTAGGGTAAAGTGATGGTTTTGAAAGGCTCCTCAAGAGGGTCCTTCTTCATGGTTTGAGTGATAGCTTTGCGGATTGTATAGTCGGAGTAACCATTAGCCTTAAGAGCTTGGTGTACGTGCTTGAGTTCACTGCCTATGTGTTCCTGGTCGGATATGCATTGGGCTCTATGATACAGAGTCTTGATGAGAGAATTCTTCTGTGATGGATGGTGGTGGGAATCCGGTTTCAGATAAGCATCCGTATGGGTAGCTTTCCTGTAGACAGAGTGGCTCATTGAACCATCAGGTCTCTTTTTAATTAGGACATCCAAAAAAGGTAGCTTGCCATCTATTTCGACTTCCATGGTAAATCTGATGGCTGGGTGTATGGAATTGATGTGGTCAAAGAATTGGTCTAGGACAGGCCGGCCATGTGGCCAGATGACAAAAGTGTCATCCACGTACCTCTTCCATAAGGTTGGGCGCAGAGTGGCAGTCTGGATGGCGTCAGTCTCAAATTTATCCATGAAAATGTTAGCTATAACCGGAGATAGGGGGGAGCCCATTGGGGTGCCCTCAGTTTGTTTGTAGAAAGTTCCATTCCAAGTGAAGTATGCATTGGTTAAACAGTGTCTCACCAGGGGGGGTACCTCAGTATTTAGTCCTTGATGAACCAAGTCTTCAATGATTGCAATGGTGTCAGGTACAGGAACCTTGGTGAATAAGGAAACTACATCAAAACTGACAAGCAGGTCGTCTGGAGACAGGGAAATACCCTTGATTGTCGATATCAGGTGAGTAGAATTTTGTACCGCAGAGGTGGTTTTTCCAGTGAAAGGACGCAGGATTTCAGACAAAAAACGAGCCAGTTTGTAGGTGGGGGAGTTGATAGTAGAGACGATGGGACGAAGGGGTGTATCTACTTTATGTATTTTTGGTAAGCCGTATAATCTTGGTGTCCTGGCAGCAGAAGGTTTCAATGAAAACTGTTTAGATTGATCAATTAATGCGGTTGAATCAGAAATTATTTTGTTGGTTTGTGTGACGAGGCTGTTGGTGGGATCTCTTTTATTTTTGTATAACTACCATCGTCGAGTAATTCTTTAATTTTGTTGTTGTATTCTATTTTATCCATGATGACAGTAGCATTGCCTTTGTCAGCTGAGAGGACTACAATATCATCCCTCTTTTTAAATTTATATAATTAAAAACGCTCATCTTTGCTGAGGTTGCTAGCTGGCATCTTAGCGTTTTTGAGGGTTGCAGCAATTTCAGATCTTGCTACGTCTGCAGCGATGTGACCCAGGCCCCTGAGAGCAACGTCTACTTGGGCAATTATATCATTAACTGGTATTTGTTTAGGTGTGACTGCAAAGTTTAGACCTTTAGCTAAAACGGATTTCAGACCATCGGAAATAGAACTGTTACTTCGATTAATTACGACTTTGTTAACGTCTAGCTTTTTGGTGTGTGGGTCCGGTCTTTTGTTGAAGAGGAGGTTAAATTTGGAAATCAGGTTGTCCTTACATTTGGTCGACATAGTAGCAGCTGAAGAGGCAGTCATTTTGTCTACATGTTCCCAATCCGATGTGGACATTGTTGCCGTCAATGATAAGTGTGATTTGTAGAGTGTCTTGTCTAACTGATCTAGTTCGGTGCGTATAAGTCTGATTTTTTCTGAGATAAGAGCTAAGCTAGTTTTGAAAAGAATTCGTTTCGCATTAGAAGAAGTTACAGCAGCAGAGGTCAGTGTAAATGCGATTGGTATTACCCCAGAGTCGCGGCATCTCTTCAGGAAGGTGAGAGACTCGATCAGATGAGCCTTCTTATCCCGGAGTTTGTTGAAGGATCTTAAAGTTATGTGA